CCGGAGCCCAGCCGAGAAGAGGTCTCCGAGTGCAACATGTGTCATGGGTGGCTCTTCATTCGGCGGCTGTCTTTACGCGGGGAGCAGGGGTCGTGGCAGCGGCCGTGGCAGCACCTTTGGAGCTTCGCGGTAGTTGTCCATTTCTCCCCTCCAGAGATCCGATGTCGTGATTTTTTCCATACGGGGTCCCTGGAAGTCTCGATCCATTCCCCATTTTTTAACGGTCCTGGGGCCTGGCGAGGGCCCCTGGAGGCCGAAAAGGGCGAGAATCCTCCGTTTCGATGTTTTCAATACGTTGGATTTTTTTGGGGGGGGGGGGGGGCCCGAGGGCCGCCTCCCGGCGGCCCCGCAGGGCGCTCCGCAGCGCTCGCCGCGTGCAGGCAGAAGCGGCCGCGCGCGCCGAAGCCGGCGGTCCCCGCCGGCGAGAGCGTGACGGTGGTCGGCGAGGAGCGGCCCCCGCCTTGGCGCCGCCGCGCCACGGGGTGGCCCTCCTCCCCCCTCCCCCCTCCCTCCTCCCTCCTCCCTCCTCCCTCCTCCCTCCTCCTTCCTCCCCCCTCCCTACTCCCTCCTCCCTCCCCGGGGGAGCTGCAGAGGCACTCCTGTTCCGCCCCCGCGCGGCTCCCCAGGACGCCGGCGCACCCAAAAAGAGTCGGAGCGGCGGGGGTCTAGGGCCGTTTTTTGCGGCCTCCTTAGGGGTGCTCGTTGGGCCTCGGGGCCGTCAAAAAACGATTGGAGCGGCGGGTCTGGGGCCGTGTTTTGCTGCCTCCAGGGGTCCTCGCTGGGCCTCGGGGCCGTCAAAAGAAACGGTTGGGGGCGAAGAAGCGGCTCCGGGGAAGCGGTCCAGACCTGCGGGGCCCACGCATCGGAACAATTGGAGCGGCCGGATGGCTGGGTCCGTCCCAGGGCCATCGCTCCGCCACAGGCGGAGGAGGTTTCGGCGGAGGTCCGCGGAAAGAACGCAGAAGCGTTGGCCACTGCGCGGGGAGTGCGAAGGGCGAGTTGTGACAGCCGTAGTTGGCTTCCTGCTGGGGGGGAGCCTCGTCGCCACGGCCGGACGCAGCTCGGAAAAGTGGTGCGTTTGGACCCCGGGAGGGGTCCGGGGACCCACTGTGGGTTGCCGTGGTCTCGACTCGCACTCCTCCGAGAAGCTGCAAGGGGGCCAGCCGCCCCGTGGTGCCCACGCTCGGCCAGCCCACCGAGCCGAGCAGCTGGTGCCAGGGGAGCCACTGAGCACGCCCGAGGCGCTGCACCGGGCTCCCGGCGCGGTGAAGCAGGACGGCCCAGCGTGGCGCAGATCGCGACCAGAGCTGCTGGACCCCATCTCTGGGGGCTGGGTCTCGGCCACGCGCGGGGGTGGTGGGGGGGGGGGGGGGGAAGGCCTCTCAGAAGCTCCTCTGCCGCTCAAGAGGCGCGGGCCTCGTTCGTCGATGTGGGGCCCGCGCCTTCTCAGAAGCAGCCTCCTGCTGAGAAGCCCTCCCCTCTCCCCCCATATACCCCCTTCTGCGCGCCGCCAAGATGCGGCGAGCCAGATCGATTCACGGAGGAGGAGGAGGAGGAGGAGGAGGAGGAGGAAGATGATGATGATGATGATGATGATGAGGAGGAGGAGGAGGAAGATGAGGAGGAGGAGGAGGAGGAGGAGGAGGAGGAAGAGGAGGAGGTCAGGGCCCAGAGCCCAGATCACCCTCGAAGACGCAGAGCTGAGCGCGCCTCGCGCCCCGCGGGCCTGGCCGCGGGGGTTCCCTTTCTCTCCAGGGCGGCGGCGCGAGGGCGCGAAGAAGAATCTGCGCGGCGCGCACCGCGGGAGCGCGTTCGCGAGGGGGCGCGGGGGGTCGGGTGACCCGAGCCAGAGAGCCCGCCGTGATCTGCCAGGGTGCCTGAGGACAACATCCAGGGGTGCAAAGGAGGAGGAGGAGGAGGAGGAGGAGGAGGAGGAGGAGGAGGTGGAGGACGATGGACGAGGAGGTGGAGGAGGCGGAGGAGAATGGACGAGGTGAGGAGGAGAGGAGGGAGAGGAGGAAGGAGGAGGAGGAGGAAGGAGGAGGAGGAGAGGGAGGAGGAGGAGGAGGAGGAGGAGGAGGAGATGGAGGAGGAGGTGGAGGAGGAGGAGGACGATGGGTGAGGAGGAGGAGGAGGAGGAGGAGGAGGAGGACGAGGAGGAGGAGGATATCGAGGAGGATTCTCACAGGCGAGGGAAGGCTACGGTTTGGCCGACTCGACCTTTAATCACAACCTTGGCGTCACATCCGATCTCCACTTACGCTCTCTTCGGCCTGCCTATCGGCTCCTTCCTTGCGGAGCTGGGCAGCAGGGTTTGGCTGGGAAAGTCGGGGCGGCCTTCAAACTGCTTTTGGGGTGACGGCGCCCGAAAAGATCGCCCACGCGTTCTGAGAAAACTTGATCTGGAAGCTGTCCTTACATTCACCTCGGAGCCCTCTCACATTGCTCTCAGAGTAGCGGCCGCACCTCTTGCACACTACAATGAAGGACTCAGCACCGA